TGATTGCTCCCTGGCTTGCTGTGAACACAGATCAAGGCAGGGGTGGGGACGTAATCTTCTTTATCTACACAGTCTCTGCATCAGGGGCAGATTTTACAGGGTTAGGTAGACTCCCCAAATGCCTCCCCTGCTGCTTCCTCTTCCCCATCACCTCCTCTTTGTCCCAACTTTCTTTGTCCAGAGTGAAGTCCCCAGCAGAAAGGGGAAAGCAAGCCTGTCTAAGACAGCCATGACTGCCCAGTCATCTCAGCTCCTTTGTCAGCACCCAGTTGCAGCCCACCAGACAGGGTTGGCAGCTGTTCTCTGCCTGTCCCTATGGAATCTAGACTCTCTGAGAGCAGGAACAGTGGAAGAAAGGATGACCTTGAAGCCATTTTTGCCATGTCAGAGCCATGCCTCTTATCCTCACCAGCCATGAAACCTGCAAGCCACTTAGCTACTCTGAGCCTTGGTTTCCCATCTGTAAAATGGCAATCATAATGCCTATCTTGCAGGATTTGAAATAAATTTTGTTAATGTCTAGTTCATTGTCCCATAAACTTTTTTAAAGCACATAAACTCTTATTCAAATTAAATCTCAGGAGAAACTCCAATATTTAAGATACTTGTGTTGGAAGTAGAGGACTCCTTCACCAAACCCTGGAGTTCAGGGAGTCCAGTGTAAGAAGACCTGGCCCCAATTCTGACAGCCAACTCTAGAGCCAACTGGAAATGTCACAGCAGCAAGAGGAGGTGGATGGGTTGTTTGACAACCTGGCATCAAAAGTTGGATGTACTTTCAGGGGAGGCAGAGGTGGATGTAGGGAGAGGGTAATGTACTACACATGAGAGTGTCCTGGGGGCTCTAAGAGGGAGGAGCTGCTATCAGATGCCCACTGTCTCACCCCTGAGCACCCCACTCTGACTTCCTACAGAAGGTGAAATGAGAAAATGAAAGACCCCCTTGCCGTAGCTGCCTCTCACCCATTTAAACAGACTTGTTTCTCGTTCTTCACACAGAACACCTTGGCCTCACCCTGTACCTGCCAGCTGGACTGCCCTTTCCCTAAATCTTTGTCTATCCAAATCTGGCTTGCCCTTTGAGTTCACATTGTCATCACCTCTGGGAAGCCTTCTGTGAATGTTCCCAGCCAAAAAGTGCCATTTACTTCCTCTGACCTCCTCTAGCACAGAGGGCAGTGTCTAAGAACTTGGGGCTCAGTTTCTCCATCTGTAAGATGGATAAGATGGAAATGTGAGGACTAAGTAAAATAATCTATGTAGATCCCTGGCACAGTCCTGGCACACAATAGGTAATTGGCAAATGGCAGTTGTTCATTATGATGTGTGGTCTCTCCCCCACCAACAGCTCCTTCAGGCTTTGGCACACAGTAGGTGTCCACTGAATACTTTACCTGGGTGACCAGTAGGTGGCCCCACACCACAATTAACCTGTCCTGCCTCCACCAACAGCTCCTCTAAGCCCCAGGCAGGAAACTGGTTCCTTTAAATCACAGACACCTTCTCCTAGTCATGGGAAACGGGGGG